GTGACAGCATCCACAAGAAAAAGCACACTCGGCCCACCTTCACGGGGCACCAGATCTTTGCCCTGGAGAAGACCTTTGAGCAGACCAAGTACTTGGCTGGCCCTGAGAGGGCCCGGCTGGCGTACTCCCTGGGGATGACCGAGTCGCAGGTCAAGGTGAGTGTGTGCGGGGGAAGGTGACTGCCTGGCAGAGAGGGGCGTGAAGGACAGGATGCATCTTTGCTCTCCCAGCAACTCCCAGCTCTCAGCGAGGGGCCTCCTGCTGTTTGGGCACTGCCTGCCCACCCAACCCTAGAGATGGAGATAATTACCTTAACCACAAAACGCTGTTGAGACTGAGCCCAGTTTTGAAAGCTTTATTTGTAGCAGCTCCTTTGACCCTCACAGCAACCTTATGGTGGGTATTACTACCCATGTTACAGATAAAAACAGTCTGAGCTGAGCCTCACTCAAGGTCACCCGGGGGGTAAGTGCAGAGATGGGAGTCAAACCCAGATCCGTGGGACTCCAGCCTCAGGCTTTCCTCTCCTCTGCACCGTCTGGGCCGGACAGATCAGGAGTCAGCCTCTGGACCACGTTAGGACTGGAGTCAGGCTTGTTCTATTAGCTGGCAGAGGAAGCTGGCCTTGGTTTACCAAACTTTAAAGTTTGGGAAAGTTCGGATGGGATGCCAGATGCAGGGAGCCTGGAAGACGCATGCAGGGGTCACGCTCATGCCCATACACCCCAGGGAGCCTGAGATTTGTAAGGCCTTTTGCCCCCTGAGGCTCCTGGAGGTAGCTTTGATCTCTCCCGAGGGACTGTGAGAGCCGGGGCACCAAAGACGCTGTGAGCTGTGCTGGGACTGCCCGGCTCTGTGACATGGCGACAGGCTTAAGGGTAAAGGAAGTGCGGGGGAAGGTGGGGACCCAGGATGGTTCTGGCCTCTGCTCAGGGCCCTGGATCTCCAGGCACCGGCCCGGCAGCCTCCTGGCCAGCCCAGGATTCACTCTGCTGGAGAGAGAGCTGCGGATCTAAGTGGAACGAAACGATGTGGCTCTCTTACACATTTTTCTGCTTTAGGTGCTTTTCTGTACTCTTCAACTGTCTCAAGCATGGAGACTATATTATTTTTATAATTCAGGGGAAATTTTGGAGCTAAAAGAAGGGGGACTCCCAAGCACCTACTGATGTGCCCTCACCTGGCTGCACCCTCCCCCACCCCCCTGTCCCAGCAGCTTCCACCCCAAGCACCACCGGGAGGGTTACAGCTTCAGCCTACAGGGCTGCTGCACTCCCAGTGTTTATTGTGTACTGCCCCCTAAAAAACTCGGTGAATACGACAGCCTGCTCCTTTCATTAAGCCCATTGATTTACTGTGATAATAAGGAACCGCCTGCACTTTGCCACCGAGGCGGAGCCCCCTTCCGCCCAGG